ACCAGCTGCATTTAAAAATACATTTACTCTTGTGATATTTATTACAGGTACTTATATAGTGCCATCAATTTATGCAACACTTTACATATATGTTGTATATTCGCATCAGTCCCTAACCCTCAAGAGGTGTACAATCTAAGGTCCCTAACTTACATTCATATACTAGTGCCAATTTACACTGGATCTAATTAACCTACCAGCATGTCTTTTGAGTGTGGGAGGAAACTGGAGGAAACCCATGCAGGCACAGGGAGAATGTACAAACTCCAGGCAGGTGGGGCCATGGTTGGGATTCAAACCAACGACCCTAGTACTGCCAGTTGGAAGTGCTAACCATTTAGCCACTGTGCTGCCCGGTATCTGCTTGAGGTTCTGCATTAAGCAATGGAGAAATGTTTTGTCACTGCAAATAAAATAAGATTTCCATGGAGGGATCTGAGGACTTGTGAAATCCTGGCACGTGTGGATTATACATATATTATACATACACAGGCTTGTAAATGGCAAACACATGCATCCATTCCTTAGTATAATGTGGGATATAAACTACAAACTAGAGATCCTTGCCACCTGCTGGTAATGTATGGTAAGCATCACATTCCATCCCAAGATATACCATGTGCAGAAATATTAGAGTGATTCCTGGCAGCCAGTGAAATCATTCAATGGGCAGCTTAGGTTATCCAGCAAACACTGCAACTGTAATAAATAAAAAAGTACACTGAAATTACAGTGCCTTGAAAAAGTATTCATACCCTTTGAAATTTTCCACATTTTGTCATGTTACAACCAAAAATGTAAATGTATTTTGTTGGGATTTTGTGTGATAGACCGACACAAAGTGGCACAGACAGTAATTGTAAAGTGAAAGGAAAATGATAAACGCTTTTCAAAATTTTTTACAAATATCTGAAAAGTTTGGCATGCATTTGTATCCAGCCCCTTGGAGTCCATACTTTGTAGAACCACCTTTCAGTGCAATTACAGCTGCAAGTCTTTTTGGGGATGTCTCTACCAGCTTTGCAGATCTAGAGAGGGACATTTTTGCCTAATTTTCTTTGCAAAATAGCTTAAGCTCTGTCAGATTGGATGGAGAGCATCTGGGAACAGCAATATTCAAGTCTTGTCACAGATTCTCAATTGAATTTAGGTGTGGACTTTGACTGGGCCATTCTAACACATGAATATGCTTTTGATCTAAACGATTACATTGTAGCTCTGGCTGGATGTTTAGGGTCGTTGTCCTGCTGGAAGGTGAACCTCAGCCCCAGTCTCAAGTGTTTTTTTTGCAGACTCTAACAGGTTTTCTTCTAAGATTGCCCTGTATTTGGCTCCATCCATCTTCCCATCAACTCTGATCAGCTTCTCTGTCCCTGCTGAAGAAAAGCATCCTCACAATATGATGCTGCCACCACCATGTTTCACTGTAGGGATGGTGTGTTCAGGGTGCTGTGCAGTATTAGTTTTCTGCAACGCGTAGCATTTTGCTTTTAGGCCAAAAAGTAAAATTTTCGTTTCATCTGACCAGAGCACCTTCTTCCACATGTTTGCTGTGTCCCCCCACATGGCTTCTCGCAAACTGCAAACCGGACTTCTTATGGCTTTCTTTCAACAATGGCTTTCTTCTTGCCACTCTTCCATAAAGGACAGATTGTGGAGTGTACGACTAATAGTTGTCCTGTGGACAGATTCTCCCATCTGACCTGTGGATCTCTGCAGCCCCTCTAGAGTTTCCATGGGCCTCTTGGCTGCTTCTCTGATTAATGCCCAGCCTGTCAGTTTAGGTGGACGGCCATGTCCCGGTAGGTTTGCAGTTGTGCCATACTCTTTCCATTTTTGGATGATGGATTGAACAGTGCTCTGTGAGATGTTCAAAGCTTGAGATATTTTTTTATAACCTAACCCTGCTTTAAACTACTCCAAAACTTTATCCCTGACCTGCCTGGCATGTTCCTAGGCTTTCATGATGCTGTTTGTGCACTAATCTTCTCTAACAAACCTCTGAGGGCTTCACAGAACAGCTGTATTTATACTGAGATTAAATTACACACAGGTGGACTCTATTTACTAATTAAGTGACTTCTGACGGCAATTGGTTACACTAGATTTTAGTTAGTGGTATCAGAGTAAAGGGGGGCTGAATACAAATGCATGCCACACTTTTCAGATATTGTAAAACGTTTTGAAAACCATTTATCATTTTCATTCCACGTCGCAGTTATGTGCCACTTTGTGTTGGTCTATCACATAAAATCCCAATAAAATACATTTACGTTTTTGGTTATAACGTGACAAAATGTGGAAAATTTCAATTTGTATGAATACTTTGCCAAGGCACTGTACCTGAATCTATCATCCCCTGCAGAATAAACCCAGGAGGAGTGTGCTTCTTGTTACCTAACTTGTATAATGTTCTCCCTGCTTCCTATTTTACCAATCACATTCAGCCTCTCAAGGAAGGTGTGACTTTGATTGGCAGTTGTATTGGCATTTAGTTTTTTATTTAAACCTTTCAGTGCCAGAGCTGTTTTTGCCTTTTTTACACACATTTAAATGTACATTTTGGGCCTGAAGTTTAGTTTAAACCCCCAAATATTGTATTTGTTATGTTTTGACAGCAGAGACCCAGGAGAATATGTCAATTGAAATTGGTGCAATTAGTTTATTAAAAGCATATTTTCAGTTAAAAAAATCTATTAAATTTAAAGTAATGTTGAAGGCAATTAAAAAAACAAACATGTCATACTTACCTCCCGCCGGCACTCCTGGCCACTCCTTCCTGCCTAGTGCCCCCATAGCAAGCTGCTTGCTATGGGGGCACCCAAGCAGGCTCGCTCCCGAGCCACTGATCTGCGTGTCCAGTCACACACAGAACCACGGCTCAGCACTGCCCCCTCTCTCCTCATTGGCTCACAGGCTGAGATTGACAGCAGTAGGAGCCAATGGTTCCTGCTGCTCTCTCAGCCTACAAGGAGGAAGAGTCACCAGAGAGCTGAGACTCTTGTGCACATCGCTGGCTCTCAATGGGGCTCAGGTAAGTATTAGGCGGTCTGCTGCACACAGAAGGTTTTTACTTTCATGCATAGAATGCATGAAGGTAAAAACTTTGAGCCTTTAAAACCACTTTAAAGTGATTCTAAAGGCCTTTTTTTAAATAGAAAAAATAACAATGTCTGTATATACCTGTTGTGTGCAGTGGTTATGCACAGAGCAGCCCAGATCCTCCTCTTCTTGGGTCCCCCGCCAATCCTTCTGGCCCCTCCCTCCTGTCGGTTGCTCTCACAGCAAGCAGCTTGTTGTTCCATGTGTCCATTCACACACGGAGCTGCAGCTCGGCCTCACCCAATGGCTCCCACTTCGGTCTTAGCCAATGAGAAGAGGAAGTCCTGTGCTAGCCGAGACTCCAGTGCACATCGCTGGATCAAGAGGGGGCTAAGTAATTATTAGGGGTGGCTGGGAGTGATGCTGCACAGAGAAGGTTTTTTTTTTTTACCTTCCTGCATAGAATGCAGGAAGGTAAAAAAACTTGAGCCTTTAGAACCACTTTAATTTTAGTGAACACAATGTACTACCCAGTTTTTGACTATAAAGGTAGGGTTGTGTTGATTAAATAGATACAGAACATGTCAAATATGCCTTAATACCACAACAAACATTGGTACCCACTTAAAGGACATACCAGGGGTCTATTAAACCCCAAATGTTACTTCTGGACCCCAAAGAAGCTGATCAAGCACAAATGGTGCTTGACCAGCACCTTCCATGGCCAGAACAGCCAGGGAATGACAGCACTGAACCTAGAAGTGATGTAATCTTGTTACATCTACATTTGTTCTTCGGCGGAGATCTCCCTCTGCTCTCACTGGCAACACCCACTATACCCATACCAAGCCTGTCCCATGCCAGCACTCTGCACAAAAAAAAGGCTTTCTGCTCTGTGTGGAAGCAGAGATCTCCCTGAAGACGTTCCAAAATGCCCCCTTGTGAGTAAGCCCAAAAATTCCCCATTCAGCAGGGATCGTGAGATTTGCTTATTGCAGAGCTATAGGTCTCACTCAGCAGGGAGCGTGTCTGACCTCAGCAGAGAGACCGCTGATTCTTCATCAAGAAAAGAACTGTAAGACTTTGCACTTGAACTAAATTTCAGGTGGGCATTTATTAACATATGACTTCAGACATACTGTATGTAATGTGTAAATGTACTGACATTATGGAACTGGGGACTGGATGATTAGATCATTTGTATCTGTAAAGGTTCCTGGTAAGGGGATCGTTCTCTTTTTTCTCCAAGAATCCCTTGGCAGTGGAAAAATTAAAATAACCCGAGTCTGTCTGAGCTTTGGAAACCCCTCTGCAAACACTCTCCATCTCCACCACATTTTTAGATGACCTTATGTTTTTCCATTGTAAAGTTAACTTTGTGAGTAAGTCAGAGTTTCAGACTCACCAAATAAAGTTTGCAGATGTGAGGTGTGGGAGTCTATGGCTGCAATGCATCTGTTCTGTGATAAGACACTGTCATGTGAGCTGTGGCTGTAGAAGGTGCAGGGAGGTGTTCCACATAGATTTCTTTCACCTAATGGTGAGTTTCTAGTGAACCCTTATGTGGCGTTATTACGGTAGTGTATCATCTTCAGCTTTACCAAAGTGTAACTGCATTCTAAAAGGGTGGGCAAACATTTACTCTTTGATTAATGAATCAAAGTCAGAGTTTCATTGACATAAGGTATGGAATAGGGAGAGTGAAACTAAGAACTATATGTATGTATCAGTGGTAGTCAAGTTGCAAGATACAGAGGGCCTTAAATACAATTCCTAACATCACCGAAAGGCTCCATATATTATTCAGTGTAACCAATGCTACAGAAGGCTATAAGACATTGTGAACCTACTACAAGAAACGGTCAAAGACTATGCAAAATGCTACCAGAGATTATTATAGACTGTGGACATGCTATGGAAGTGACTGGAGTTGCAAGAGATGGTCAGAGACTGGAGACATGCACAGGGGCGGACTGACCATTTGGAAACTCGGGCACTGCCCGAGGGCCCGGGGTCAGTAGGGGGCCCCATGAGATGCCCCTGGTACCTTTTTCATAGGCTTTTTTGAGTTTGGGCAAGGACACAGGGGCCCCATGATCCCCTTTTGCCCGGGGGCCCCATGAGTTGTCAGTCCGCCCCTGGACATGCAACATGAGAGTGCTAGAGATGCCATTACATCTACTTTAAAAAAATCAATGTCTTACATTTGTTCTCCCTACAGCCCCTTTAAAAACTACTGCTCAAAGATGATGCGGGGCGGGGCTGGGCTGTAATGTTGTTTCAGGCATTGGATCCTGTGTGGGTGCTCACATAGGCATATAGTGCACCGTGTTGAGTTAGCCCAGTGTTTCTCAACTCCAGTCCTCATGGACCCCCAACAGGTCATGTTTTCAGGATTTCCATTATTTTGCACAGGTGATTTGATCAGTTTCACTGCCTTAGTAATTACCACAGCTGTTTCATCTGAGGGAAATCCTGAAAACATGACCTGTTGGGGGTCCATGAGGACTGGAGTTGAGAAACACTGAGTTAGCCGCAGAGTGATATGCATGTCCAGAGCCATGGTCCGTCAGAGGACCAGAGGTGGATCCCTGTTTGGGAAGACCCCTTCGGGGATATGCATGTCGTGTAGGGGGAAACCACAATGGGACCTGTACCCAGGTTAAACAGTAACACCACTTTTGTTGAGAAAAAAAAACATTCCCCTCTGGGTGATCTATATACATTGCCAGGATTTTAACAAACTTTGTTGCAGATTCCTACCTTTAGTTATTCTGGAGAAGTAGATGTTTGTTTGTCTGTGCCCATGTGAAGAATGAATCTGTATGGGAGTGATTTCATAATTATCCACCAGCGGTTGCCCCCCGCAGGGCTCTAATGAGGAAAGTGGCAGGGTCTGCATCCCTATGGATGTGATTTCCCTTTGGAAATATCACACCAGAAATGACATATTTGTAGTGGGGATGCCAAAAATCTGACATGTATCTTAGTGCAGACTTCTGGGAAAATCAGTCAGCCAATCACACAAGCAGGAAATGTTTCTGAGGGCATTCTGTACACCATCTATGTACAGAACACCTCCGGGTTTCCATATTGCATTGTATTTTACAGAAAATTGCAGAGCTGCAGACTGAAAAGGACATTTTTAATAACATTCAATTACAATATGACTTGTGTCACAATTGTATATGCTATATTATTTTTTCTTTTTATTTGCATTTTTTTTTCCCATGAAAGTGGAGTTATCCTTTAATGTCAGTGGCTGCCCCTGTCACAGGCACTTGTCAAAAGTGCTGACTATGCCCACCCTTTCTGCCTGAGTGCCCCATTCATAGCACCTATACTTACTTCATAGTGCCTGTACTATAGGTTCTCACAATGCAAAGTGTTCCTTGATTGCAGAAAGCAACATTTCATATGTAGCCCTCTGCCTCTGTTTGGCCAAATGTATTTTTTTATTGGCTTCACTGTATTCAGTGGAGCAAGGATCCGTTTTCTTTGTCTGGTCAGGGTTTCTCCTGTCTGTTTCTGGAGGAAGTTTTTAGTAAATGGAGCAGGGGGGGTCAATACCTCAGTTACGAAAATAATGTATATCAAATCTTAGACACTCCCTGGGAGGGGGCACCCAGAAGGTGGCTGAGGGAGGTGATAAATATTTGGGAGGCCTTTCCAGAGTGTTATTTTTCTGCCAGGAGGGATCCAGTTTCCCTGGGACTGCTGCCCCTCAGAGGCAGCTAGGGTATTCTGAAGTATTGCAATTGCTCCTCAGCAGTTGCTGGGCTGAGTTCCTGGAGAAGGGTACTATCCGGAAGTCCTGGTCTGGAGAAGGATCTTTTGTCTACCTCACTGCAGAACTACCTGTGGAAATTGGGTGGCAGTCCGCTCACGGGACATTGTGAGTAAGACCTACTGTGGATCTTCCATGTGTTTCTGCAGCTATGAGGATTGGTGCTAGAAGTTTGTTCTCCAATTAATCATTTTGGAACATCCTGAACACCGCTCACGTTATTTAGCAATAAATTCTAAAGACATTCACCCAGGGTAAGGTGGAGATTAGAGATGAGCGAATCGAACTTGGCGAAGTGGAATTCGTTTCGAATATTAGGAAAAATTCGATTCGCGCCGAATCCGAAAATTAGCAAACTTCGGATGCACGAATCGAATTTTCCCCGAGGTCGGTCGGCCGATTTTCATCCCTTCTACAGCCGGCAAAAAGTGTCCCTGCAGAGAGCTCCGCTATTTCTGACAGTTCTCTGACAGTTCCTTCACATTTACAGCGGTTGAAACATTGTATCTATTTGTTTCCATTTAGGATAGAGATGTTTTTATTCGGAAACAAATAGATACAATGTTTCAACCGCTGTAAATGTGAAGGAACTGTCAGAGAACTGTCAGAAATAGCGGAGCTCTCTGCAGATACACTTTTTGCTGTACTGGAATTCTTCTTATTTTCATCCTACTTCTTCTTCTTCATCCTCATCCTCATCCTCTTCTTCTTCTTCTTCATCCTCATCCTCTTCTTCTTCTTCTTCTTCTTCATCCTCATCCTCTTCTTCATCCTCATCCTCTTCTTCTTCTTCTTCTTCATCCTCATCCTCTTCTTCATCCTCATTCTCTTCTTCTTCATCCTCATCCTCTTCTTCTTCATCCTCATCCTCTTCTTCTTCATCCTCTTCCTCTCTTCTTCTTCTTCTTCTTCTTCTTCTTCATCCTCTTCTTCATCCTCATTCTCTTCTTCTTCATCCTCATCCTCTTCTTCTTCATCCTCATCCTCCTCTTCTTCTTCTTCTTCTTCATCATCATCATCCTCATCCTCTTCTTCTTCTTCTTCTTCTCTTCTTCTTCTTCTTCCTCACCATCATCCTCTTCTTCTTCTTCTTCTTCTTCTTCTTCTTCATCCTCATCCTCTTCTTCTTCTTCTTCTCATCCTCATCTTCTCTTCTTCTTCTTCTTTCTCATCCTCATCCTCTTCTTCTTCTTCTCTCTCCATCCTCATCCTCATCTTCTTCTTCTTCTTCATCCTCATCTTCTTCTTCTTCATCATCCTCATCCTCTTCTTCTTCTCATCCTCATCCTCTTCTTCTTCTTCATCCTCATCCTCTTCTTCTTCTTCATCCTCATCCTCATCCTCTTCTTCTTCATCCTCATCCTCTTCTTCTTCTTCTTCTTCATCCTCATCCTCTTCTTCTTCTTCATCCTCATCCTCTTCTTCTTCATCCTCATCCTTCTTCTTCTTCCTCATCCTCATCCTCTTCTTCTTCTTCTTCATCCTCATCCTCATCCTCTTCTTCATCCTCATCTTCTTCTTCATCATCCTCATCCTCTTCTTCTTCTTCATCCTCATCCTCTTCTTCTTCTTCTTCTTCTTCTTCTTCTTCTTCTTCTTCCTCATCCTCTTCTTCTTTCTTCTTCTTCTTCATCCTCATCCTCTTCTTCTTCTTCTTCTTCTTCATCCTCATCCTCTTCTTCTTCCTCATCCTCTTCTTCTTCTTCATCCTCATCCTCTTCTTCTTCTTCTTCTTCTTCTTCATTCTTCTCATCCTCATCCTCTTCTTCTTCATCCTCATCCTCTTCTTCTTCTTCATCATCCTCATCCTTCTTCTTCTTCTTCTTCATCCTCATCCTCTTCTTCTTCTTCTTCATCCTCATCTCTTCTTCTTCTTCTTCATCCTCATCCTCTTCTTCTTCTTCCTCATCTTCTTCTTCTTCTTCATCCTCATCCTCTTCTTCTTCTTCCTCATCCTCTTCTTCTTCTTCATCCTCATCCTCTTCTTCTTCTTCTTCTTCATCCTCATCCTCTTCTTCTTCTTCTTCTTCATCCTCATCCTCTTCTTCTTCTTCTTCATCCTCATCCTCTTCTTCTTCTTCCTCATCCTCTTCTTCTTCTTCATCCTCATCATCTTCTTCTTCATCCTCATCCTCTTCTTCTTCTTCATCCTCATCCTCTTCTTCTTCTTCCTAATCCTCTTCTTCTTCTTCATCCTCATCCTCTTCTTCTTCTTCCTCATCCTCATCCTCTTCTTCTTCTTCTTCTTCTCCTCATCCTCATCCTCTTCTCCATCCTCATCTTCTTCTTCATCCTCATCCTCTTCTTCTTCATCATCATCCTCTTCTTCTTCTTCTTCCTCATCCTCTTCTTCTTCTTCTTCTTCATCCTCATCCTCTTCTTCTTCTTCTTCATCATCCTCATCTTCTTCTTCTTCTTCTTCTTCATCCTCATCCTCTTCTTCTTCTTCTTCTTCATCCTCATCCTCTTCTTCTTCAATTGAAGCTGCTTCTGCTCCGCCACTCTGCCATTGGACTCTTGATAGTCGTCTCCCCACACTGCTGCTGGGGGGACTTTTTAACATAGGCCTCTGTATGGCCTTCAATTTAAGCTGCTTACGCTTCGCCACTCTGCCATGGGCCCCTGTACCGCCTCCTCATGCTGCTGCCAGGCCCGTAATCTGTCATGGGCCCCTGTACCGCCTCCTCATGCTGCTGCATGGTCATGGGTCCCTGTACGGCCTCCCATTGCTGCTGTCTCCATCGCCACACTCTGCCATGTGCCACTTTCAGGTCTCCTCACACTGCTGGTGGGTTCCATTTTGTCATAGGGTGCTGTATGGCCTCCCATTGCTGCTGCCTCCACCGCCACACTGTGGCTCCACACTCTGGTTTTGGCCCCGTGACTGCCCAAATGAGTGAAGTGTGCGGTGATTCTAAGATCGACGGCACTCATCTGCATGTCATACTGACTGACAGTATTATTTCTCTTCCCCAGCAGACTCCAAGGGCATTTAAATTAAAGGTACAGTGTTCTGCACTAATATAAAGGCTCTCTGAAGCCTAGAAACCCTTTTAATAAGTTAAATTCGCAGCGCGATAAATTCGCATCGAATCGAATTCATTCCGCAAATTCGGCGAATCAGCCGAATCGAATTTTTGAATAATTCGCTCATCTCTAGTGGAGATCCCTAAGGAAAGTGGTACTTTCAAATGTGTCAACAATGGGAGACACAAACATACACCAAATATAAAACCAAAATAATTTTTATTACAAAATATAATTAAAATTCCATCTTTTAAAAACACCAAAAAAACTCAATTACATCGTGTTTTGTCCATTTTATCCAATTTTTACAAGCATGTAGCATTGTATCAGTGTATAGAATCAACGC